GTTTTTTTTGGTACCTCTTCAGGTTGTGGCACGGTTTTATTGGTGTAAATCTATAATGCATGAGTGGCTGAGAGCATTTTCCTTTATGAATTCCCTTTAAAATTTAATTAGAAATTAAAGCGAAATCCTCAACTCCTGGATTTCTAATTTTTGGAAAGATTTTCCTCTATATGAATCCCTTTTAAAATTCAATTAGAAATTAAAGCGAAATCCTTCATTCCTGGATTTCTCACTTTTGGAAGGATTTTACTTCTTTTTGAATTCCTTTTAAAATTCAATTAGAAATTAAAGCGAAATCCTTCATTCCTGGATTTCTCATTTTTGGAAGGATTTTCCTCTATATGAATTCCTTTAAAAATTTAATCAGAAATTAAAGAGAAATCCTCAATTCCTGGATTTCTCATTTTAGAAGGATTTTCCATTTTAGAAGGATTTTCCTCTATATGAATTCCTTTAAAAATTTCAATTAGAAATGGAAGAGAAATCCTTCATTCCTGGATTTCTCATTTTTGGAAGGATTTCACTCTATATGAGTTCCTTTTAGAATTCAATTAGAAATTAAAGAGAAACCCTTCATTCCTGGATTTCCTTTGAAAATTCAATTAGAATAGAAAGTAAAACGAAATCCTTCATTCCTGGATTTCTCACTTTTGGAAAGGTTTTCCTCTATATGAATTCCTTTTAAAATTTAATTAGAAATTGAAGAGAAATCCTTCATTCATGGATTTCTATTTTTGGAAGAAATTTCCACCCAAAAAGGTAGATCAATGGGGGGGGGGTAGCATATATATATATATATATATGGGTTATATAGGGGATACGTAGCGGATATATGGGGTTTATAGGGGATATAATTAGGGGATATCTAGCGGATACCTAGGGTTTGGGGTTTAGGGTTTAGCCGGGTCCAGCTCATCAGGAAAGGTGGTTGGCCTCGCTGGTGGTGCCAACTTTGCGAGATGCCCACGTCTGGCCCACGCAGGAGCAGTGGAACAGCTTGCTTGATTTGGGTTGCTGTGCTACCGAGTTGTGGGAACCTTCTGCTTTGGTCCGAGGGACAATCTCAAATGTCCTTGCATTGGGCGCGAAGCCAGTTTTCTCTGCAACGGCAGCAAGCTCTGATGAGCGAGGATCCTCCAGGAAGTGTAGCAGCTGAAGCAACAGGGTAGACAGAACGGCTCCAGTTCAACAATTGCTATTTCGGGTTCCCGGAATCCAGGGATATCACTGAAGTTCGCAAGAGTACAGGGACCCCGACTGAATTCGATCTTTGGCGCAGAATTCACTTCGGACTCTCATCCCCCCTGCAAGTTGACTGCAACCCCATCGCTGCTTGTCCAACCTGTTTACAGACCTGAAGCTGTGATGCGCTGTCCACCCTACGCTAGTATAGCAGCCTGACAACCTGAACTGATGTAGGTCCCGGAGCTACTTGCTTCCTTTGATGCAGGATGAGGATTTAGACCAGCGCTGCCTATTCAACGGGTATCAGGGAAGCGACGCTTGTGCTAATCTGCTACTGGTAGCCTTTGCCAACACAAGATGAATTGGGTGACACCTCAGCAGATTGGCATGTGGGAGCTCTCTCCGGTTGAAGTGTTCGGGGATAGATACTGCAGAGACCAGCAGTGGGCAGAAAATATGGCCCGCCACAAACGTGCCAGAGCTGAGAGAAGTGACCCGCCTTTGACCAGTTTGGCTTCTCCATCTGAGGTGTATGATGTGAAGCTTCAAGATGCTGATGGCAGGCCGATGTTTGTTCAAGCAGTTGCACAGCCACGGCTTGCGCAGGCCTAGGCAATCCGCCCCTCTCAAGGCAGCCAGATGTCCGGATTTGCTCACAACAGAATCTGTTGGCAGGTGGCACCCATCCGTCATGAAGCTGCACCTTGCCTGCGTGAGCTGAAGTGTGCCACACCAGATATACCTTCCACAGTCAAGAATTAGCTTCTAACACGCTGGCAACTGATGCCTTACTCAGGCCGCCGTTCAGCAAGCCTTGCCTGAAGGACAAACGACGTTGGCACGTGTTGTCTACATAGCGCAGTGAAGCTTCTCAGTCGTATCCAATCTGAAAGGTGCGGATTAGATCACGTCATGTGTGTTGATGGACAGACACAGCAGACTCACATGGGCCGCGGTCAAAATTGCTGTCAGCATCGTTCATTTAGTGTAGGCAGTAGTGGCTGTGCAAAACCCGAAGATTGATAGACGTCCTACTGCAAGAGCAGAACTAGGCGATGTCCCAAAGCTTTGAGCAGTCAGCAGTTGGTGCAGGATTTCGTGCAGCCCGAGTACCCTCCCAAGCTTCCGAGCACGGCTGCCGAGCGCGAGCAGAGACTTGGTCGAATTGAGATCTCGTGCAATGTTGCGTGAAGCAGATGCAGCACTTCTCGTTCTGCGGCGCATAAATGAGAGTATGGACGCTCTGATGCAAAGTTTTCACGGCATAGCAGAACTGAGTCTCGTGAGCGCATGTGTGTGGCAATGCTGACAGGGACGCTCAGGCCCACGACAAGTCCCCTTGTCCGTCGTCTGAACGACGTGACAAGAAGCCCAGCGGAAGCCAAGCGGAAGCCCAGGCTTTGGCTCTGCGTCCCCTGCGGAGACGACAGCTCTTGCTTCCACCTCTGCAATCAATCTTCAGGAATGCAGGCAGCGATGCTGGCTTTTTGACCTGAGCACGGTACAGCCCATGCGTTTGGAGTTGTGGTGTTGCAGCATGTTATCTGGAAGCCGGGCATTCGCAGAAGCTAGACAACCTGAGCCTGGTGGTAGGTCTTGGAGATTCGCGGCGGCGGCCCTGGGCACAGCGCCGCGTCACTGAGGCTCTGTCCCTGCTGTCTTACGAGGTTTGAATCGGAAAGTCTGAGGCGGTGACAGGAGCAAAGCTCTTTCCAATGATGCCATGATGTGGCATTTTCACCTGAAGCCTTCACAATGTCTTTTGTCTGTAGCATGGTTAGAAAGCTGGGTGCTCGCACGCCAGCTGCCTTTCAAGTGTGCAAGATGTGGCGTGCACCTTGACTTGACTCGCAGCCTCGCAAAGGCTGTCGGAGTATACTGGGGGTGACCGACAGAAGTGGCAGGCCTGCTTGGGAGTAAGGGACTCTTCACATACAAAGCAGGTGCTTGGAAGGGCCATTGGGACATGTTGTCTTAGAAAGGGTCATTTTTTTGTTTAATCTGGAGTTCCCACATTCTAAAAACCCACAGATGGACAACAACAGTCGCATCATCAGCAAGCTGGACTGCAAGCCGTGCCTTGGCAGCAAGGTGAGCGCTGAAGACTTTGGAACCTTGACAAGGTAAGTGTGTAAGGACTGCAGAAAGTTCACTGCTTTGCTTCCAGCTGAGGAACGGTGAGACCACTCCGTTGAAGTTCTGCATTGATGTGGTGGGGGCACAGGATGCAAACAGCCGCTTGCTGTGACCATACCACAGCTTGGAAGCTGGCTGACGCAAAGCGCGTCGGGTTTTGTTTCTTTGCATGCAGGTAACCCAGCTTTGTGCAACATGTGGTAAGGTGCAGCCGTCTGTGCCTACGCTGCGAATGGTGGCCGCAACCAGCAGTGGGAGCTGGAAGTTATCGGCCAGGCTGCATGCAGACTGTGGGTGTGCAATGGTTGCTTTACCCAAATACACTTGCATACTTGCAGGAGCCTGCGGATTACAAGGGATATGTCAGGAACATTCTGCCAAAATGGCTCTGCCATTCTGGCTCAAGATTGTTGGGATGTTGTCCCTGTGAAAGTTTTTGTGTCTTGCCTCACTCTGGTACTTGTATCGCTGGATACCATGGCTTCATGGAGGTGAACAAGTTCCTCGCCACTGCGGAAATCGTGGATGTGCCGAATGAGGGCACCCTCTAAGAACTTGTGTCCACAGGTGCCGGTGGCCCGGCGGATACGGGGGCTGAGGGTGTTGCTGCTGCGGCGGCAGCTGACAGCACCCGACGCCAAGGACGCGGTCCTTGTCACGCTTGTGACCACGGACGTGGAATCCGGACTGGAAATCAAGCCCGCAGGTGCCATCGGCCTTGAGGGGGGGCTCGATGGAGGACGTTCCTCAAGTTTGCGGAGCCGATGCCGGACCTGCCCATCCACCTCGCGGTGGACAAGGACGGCCTCTATCGCATTGATGGCGCTGAGCTCCCTCCAGTGGGGAAGGCGAGAGCTCACATCGCCTGTCGTAATTTGCAGCAAGATCAAACGCACACAAGTTTCAGTGGAGCGTGTGCTGGAAGTCTATGTGGTGGCCGAGAAACAGCATGATCACGAGGACATTGTTGAATGGCAAGCAGGGCTCGCTCCGCCAAGGCGTTGCTTATGCTTCTGCGGGGTTGGATGCTGGGGACTACAAACATGAGTTGATGTGCCGCCGGTGCTTCGTGCCCTGACCGAGGCAGACTGGTTGAAGTGCAGCTCACTGTGGGCTGTCTTCCGGGACATCGCCGCCGCGTCGCCGTGTTGCAGCGCCAGGGCATTTTCACCTCCGTGGTGTTCTCCTGTCCCAGGCTGGCTTCTGCGCTCCGCAAAGGTATCTTTTGCTGAGGCAGCTAATGCTCCCTGGCCCTGTGCGATCGGGAATAGTGCAGGCCCGACAGACGTCATTCCAGGATTTTGGAACACCCGGAAGACCCGGCGCAAAGATCGCGATTGCCGAATGCTACGCGATGGAGGCGGTCAGATCGAGACTGGAGCGCGCAGTCTGGCTATGACGTCATCAGCTTTCACCAGTGCAGTGCAGCCGTCAGCGTCAAAATAATCCAACAATTTCCGCCGGTCAGACATGATGAAACGGGCCTTTTACGGCCATCTAGACCAGCCCAAGCCAGCGCGTGGCGGACCCAGTGACGTACCCTTTTCCTGCGCAGCCACCCCAACGACAAACATCAACCTCAAACATCCTGGCATTTTGGGCCTATTGGATGACGCGATGCGGGAGAGTAGCCGCAGGCTAGCAGAGCTCGGGCAACACTTTGGACAAGGTGACGGAGTCCATCCCCACATTTCAGCAGTCCCTTTCGGAAGGACAAAACGCGCATCTTTTTCCTGAGGCAGCCCTGAAGCAGATCCGCATGAAGATCCTCCCGGATCGCTCCCTGCCTTTGAAGGACAAGCGTTCTTCTTGGACATCATCTCACGCATGCTCACACCGTGCGAGGATGTGGACGCCCCTTACGTTCTGAGAAGGTGCTGAAGTCTGAGCTCACTGGTGAAGACTGAGGCCTGCCACAGGCTCCCGTTCCGGAGGGAGGAAGAGTATGCAAAAGAGATCAGGGACACCTTCCGCACGGTCTTGGGCCCCATGGACAAGCAGCTCCGTGGATGCGTGCCGGGACGTCAACGAGCGGTAAGATTTGCGTCATTTTTGATGGATCCACGGGTTGGGCAAACGCCCATATCCAGCGCAACACGGCGGAAAAGACAACAGGTGCCACAGTCATGGATAACGTCCACGTGCTGCGCTGGCTGGGGGCGGCCAAGAAGACGAGCAGGCCCATGAAGAGGATCGTAAAGATGCATGAGAATGGGCGCTAGTAAGCACGACCTGGAGTAGTCGACCCAGGGGAATGAATATTTGGCAGTACGTCGCAGAATGCCAAGCAGGAACCCCGTGAGTGGTCAAGGGGAGCAACAAAAACCGTGAACAGACTTCCACCGAAGACGGCCGTGCAAAATGGACCGCTGCTTCACATGATTTGCGCTGGGAATCTTTTGCGGTTTGCCACTGCTGCAATAAGTTTTAGAAGGTGCGTAGAGAGTAGCGTAGAACAGCATGGTGTAGCAATGTTTGTCATGTAAATCATGTTGATTCTTTGATTCTTTGACATTTTGTGAATGGGGTTGATAACGTGTCAGGTTCCAGCCGAAATCAAAAAGTAGCCTTCATTTTGAACATGCGTGATCGTTAGTTCGAATTTGACGTCGCGCTGCATCGACCTGAACAGGTGCAGGCACGAACCATGTGTAGAATGATGTTTTGAGTTCCGTGCGGAAGTGCCGGCCGTAACTTGCTGAAGTGATCTAGAGGATGCAAAGCAATTCTGCAGGCTGGTAGTGCGCGTTTGGTGCGCATCGTTTCCTGCATGGTTCCTGAGCTGCAATGGCTGCCCAATGTCGCCTGTACAGAGATATGATAGGAATGGCAATAAACATTGTAATGCACACCGGGCAAACCAATGACGATGAAAGCGCTCGTGATAGCACAACTTTCAGACATGAAGACTAGACAATGGTACCAATTCCACCATGTATGAACGCGTGATTCATGCAAGGATGGCAGGCGGTTGCTCACAGTGGAGTGCCTTGAACGCAGACATTGATTGGTCTACTTGGGTGTGTCGATGCGCTTGCGATTGCTGTCTTGTTCGAAAGCAGCACGGTTCATTTCACCAGCTGATTCTTTGTCTTTTGTGTGCATTGCATCATGATCGCAGGAATGGAGATCAATTGCGAAACGATGCCTGGCCATAAAAGGGGGCAGCGAAGGTGTTGCCGGCGGATGTGGTGGTGATTGAGGAAGAATAGGAGGAAGAAACAACAGCATGAGTGGTAGAGATGCTACATGGTAGGGCTAATCCAGAGAAATGCGAATATCAAGGACATGATCTTGGAGATTAGATATCTGGTACGCTGGTCCGGCGAAGCGGGATTGGTGCAGCTCCAGTGCCCAGGCCTGCAATGTGAAGCTTGAGCAGTCTTTGGGCGGAAGGTGCCTTCAAGACTTTCTTCTGCCATTGCTTCAGTGCGAGCTGGTGAGGAGATCCCAAGGGAAGTTTAACTTGACAACGCTTCACAAGCGAGCAAGATACACAACTGGAAGTCAGTTACAAAATTAGAACTATGGCGGAATGAAGTTGAAGCCAGCTGAAGCCTCTATTTGCAAGTCAGTGGACCAAGAAGTGTTGCTGCGACTCATCATTCAGATTATCGCAGTGAGAGTCCCTGTTGACTTTTTGTGATGACTTTTGCCTTCATGGTTCGCCAGAGCAGCTTTGCAGCTCAATGAGGAAAGTGGTGTGGAACCATGGCGTGCCGCAGGCTTGCGCGCCAATCCCAAGTCAGGAAGTCATCTGAAAGTGACGCATGCATAGCTTGAACGTCAAGTTCCCGGCTCTGCCTCAAAAAGCATGAGTTCTCGATTGACACCGTATGGATCATTTCTGACATCAGGAATAGAGGTTGTGCTGTGAAAGCATCCGCGTCATCACATAAAGAAATGTATCTTACCCTGGCTTGGCAGCAAAAGACAACTCATGGTGCAGCTGGTGCTGTGCAGCTGAAGTAAGGGTCGGGTATCTTGCAAGTTCGACATGTGCCGGTCGTTTTGGGGCTGTCCGCGTGAAAGTGGCACGATGATCGGCTTCCACCAAGCAGGGCAATCTTGTGCAACTGCTTGTGAAGAGGCAATCATCGAAGAGCGGCTTGGCAAGCAGCTGGGACGAGGCACAGGGGATGCGGAGAAGGCCCGGCGGCTTGAGACTCCTCGTCCAAGACAATTCTCCCTGCAGTTCGTAGCTGTTGACCCAGTAGCGCGATTCGCATGAGCCAGGCTTGCATTCTGCAAGACATCCGCAATGGCCTTGCGACTTGCCTGCCCTGAAGCTTTGGAGACTGTAGTGGAAGTCATGCTAGCAGCGCAGTCATGCACTGCGTCATTGGATTCAGCCAAAAGCCAACTTCCACAGTGTTTGGGAGCCAAAGCGGGCGTTTTGCCAGGCCCTAAACAGACCGTTCCTCGTGCTGAGCTTTATGCGCTAGTTTCTCTTCTTAATTCCACAGATGGCAACGTGGAATTCAGCTGTGACTCCTAGATTACAGTCAAGAAGCTGAAGCGTCTCGTAAGATCCCATGTTCTGAAAACAAAAACCCCGCATGCTGACCTCTGGCTTCGGGTGCAGGCCCACTTAGACACACGGCGAGTATACCCTGTATGGATCAGCTCCCATTTAGGTCGTGAAGCTTTCTTTGACAAGTTTGGTCGTGATTTGGAATGGGCCCACCTCTCAAATGACCGCGCTGATAGCAGTGCGGGTTCAATAACACATTGGCTAAGCCAGCGACCTAATGTGCGGACTTTTGCTGATATCACTGCTTGGACTGATAATCGCACACAACGACTCCAGAAGCATCTCATCCCACGTGTTCAGGGCATTTTAGAGGCTTACGGGAAACAGCGGACCAAGCCCGTTGGCCCGAAACCGCCCACTAAAGTTGAGTTTTTAGCGCATTTACGCATCACTCATCCTTGGCATAGCTGGCATCACACCTGCCGCCAAGCCAATTGTACAGTTTGCGGGCTAAGGCTTACAACTACATTATCCCCCGATAGGTTGAGGGAGCTGGCTAGCCAACCCTGTCCTATGAGTATGATGGACCTTGTCCCTCTTGGGGTTCATTTTACTCACTCCCTTAACTTGAGGGTGTTGGTCGGGGATGGCGATGTGGTGTAAGCTGCTCCTCAAAATGCACTCCCGTGATGCATCATGGCATCGCGCAGCGAAGGGGTGTAAGGCTTTTCGTTAGGGTACCTGTTTTTGGCTTTGCCAAGTCCTAGCTCAAAAAACAAAGCCAACTTTCACAAAGCGGCCAAGGTCAAGTATAGCCCTCAAAGGGCCGCAAAGAGTTTGCTTCCCGCAGCTTGGCACGGGCATTTTATAGCTGGGCAGAGCCGGATTGCCTGAAGCCTGAAGCTGGCTGAAGCTTTTTTTTGCTAACAGCTTGTGATGAATCGGTGCCCAAAAAAGCTGGAAACTGTGCGACACAAGTTGGCTTTTCCCAAGGTCGCGAATGTCCTTCGAAGAATTCACAGCGACGGATTTGCCTCTTGCTTCAATGCATGCTTTCATTTTGCCATGTGTTCTGTGTTGGAGTGACTCATGATCGGCTGGCATGCGCTGGTGCTCAAGGTCTACAATGACATGCACGATGGAAACATTCTGCGCCACATGACTCATGAACCTCGGGTCCACAATCTTAGACTTGCTGGAATAGTGCCAGAGTGTTAGGTATGGACGTGTGCAAATGGAAGGTGAGCATGATCCCTCTCAATCCTGTTGTCTTTTCCATGTCTTTACTTCGCGGTCCATCTGTTGCTCAGAATTTTAAACTGCAAGAAGCTGTGACGCACGTCTTTCAAGCCCCAAGGACAGTTACAAGCTCATTGACCTGGGCAGCGTAACCCGTGCTGCCCTCAGGTCAGAACAGTTTGGCATCGTGTTTAAAGAGTGAGATGCGGTGTGACTTTCAAGTTGACTGGAACGGCTCAGGAGCTGATCACTGGCAGCAAGAACTCGGAAGCCTCTACGACAGTCGATGGAGTCGCAATCGTGCCCCACCTGCGTAACGGACAATGTTCCTGCAAGATCATGCAGTCCATGAGGAAAACAACACTCAGCACCAAATTGTTGCCTCCCTCCAGCTCAGCTAAGCCCTCGTTCAGCCGAACACAGTGCTGAGTACAGCTTTCTCTCAGGTGACTGGCGTGCGTTTGCACTGGCTTTCCTGGGCTTGATCCTGAATGGCAGGCAGCTTGCAAGCACCAGTCGGCTCCATTTTCGGAAGCTATTGCTCGTCTCGGCTGATGCCTCGAAGCTTTCCGGTCGCTTAGGCTGGAGGTCGGCATGTAAAATTTGGATTACGATTATATAAACTAGGTACCCGGCAGATTGTGTGTCTGAAGGCAGCTCGATGTCTGGGTCCTTGTCGGCACGCCGCGGCCTCACTTTCGCGCTGCACGGATGCGAGCACATACATGTCACTATCTAGCTCCAGGTGCAAGCAGTTTCTTTCTGAAAGCCAGCATGTCTTCGTTTGATACATGACTTCCTTGTCTGGCTTCCCTGACTGCTCAGGAACTCGTGCGTCAAAGCGAGCTCCGGGCTAGATTGCTCCTGGTCATCGCCTGCAGACCAGGTGTCTTCATACCAGTCCGTCATGGTTTCGTCTAAGCACTAGGGCGATTTTTTTTTGTAATGTTGTTGCATTGCATTGCATTGCTACGTTGCAGTGGCCCAAACCAAGGTGGCCTGGATTCCGCAAGATGTTGAGGATATGCTTGCCGAGCAGCATGGGCGCTGGGCTGCGACGGAGGAGCCTGAAGATGCCAAGGCGAAAGTTGTTTCGTGCCAAGATCCAATCCAAAAGTGTGCTCCGCAGGAGTGGGCCATCCGTCAGGCGCAGTGATCTTCAGACCTAGCAGCACAGTTTAGGGAACAAAGAGCACCCGCAATTGAGACTTTGAATCGTCGTTGTCTTTCACAGCTTATGCATCTGAGCTATAGTAGGCAATACACTGAGTGCAGCCACATGGCGTTGGACACAGTTTTTGCGTTGAAGTTTTGCGGCTACCTTGCACAACGATATGGTGAAGGACAGAAGCGATAAGTGGATAAGTTTAGGTCATGTGCCCGAGGTCCCCCAAGTCCTGCGTTGCGATAAGATATTGCAAAGTCTCCAAACCCTGCAAAACGATAAAGTGACCGTCCAAAAGTGAGAAGAACATATAAGAACAAGGAACATTGCAAGGGTAGGGTCTAGGTTTTTGCCGCAGGCTCATCTAGATGCGGGCTCCTGCTCATATTCATTTTGCAGAAGCTGCTGGTGTGAAAAGTTTCCCTGAACAAATGAAGGTGCTCATTGCACTTTTTGCCCATTGCAGCCTGGCTCGGCACGAAGATTGGTTTTGCAAAGCCGCAGCTTACGCAAGTCAGAACTGTCGGGTTACGCTCTTTCAGGTTGTGTGCATGTTGAGGTGTCGATGATCGAGTTGTTTGCCAAAAGCTCTGGGCTCTCTCATTGAGCACCTTCCGAGATTTCTGAGCACAGAATCAAGTCCTGCACAGCCTCTTTCCTTGCCCTACGCTTGCTGGTTATGTGTGGAGCACAGCAGCAGCCTGATGGCTGCAGTTACTGTTACAGGATTTCAGGAATCCTTGCATGACGATCTGACTCTCAGCTACAAATGCAGGAGACAAAGTTTCAGTCTGCGCTTCCAAAAGTCTGCTGCCTGCCAAAGGTGGCATTGTAAATTATGTATTCCAAAAAACATTAGCCACACACCCCTGAGGCGAGCCTGAGGTTCCAAGAGTCGGCCCGAAAGGTCGCCTGACGTCAGCAAGCTTTTAGACAAGCACTCATGGCCGCGTAGTCTGAATCTCTTGGCGTCCTCTGGGGTGTACCCTAATCAGGTGCATGCTTTATTTGAATCTTGGCGCATAGCCATGGCACGTGGGGACGGGCATGGGTTGGCCGTCCCTGGCCTTGGGCTTTGAGAAAACAGTCTAAGTGCTAAGCGAATCACGCGGCTCGGACTGAAACCATCAGCCGATGAAGATGCTAGAGTGGCGTTTGTGGAGCGGTGTGATTTTCGATTTCACGGAGGCGAGAAAGGCTCCTAGACTCTTAGACCCTACGTGTTTACTTGTCATAATGGCCTTTGGATGCGCGGGCCTTCCTTGAGCTTTCTAAATACCATTGAATACCTCCATGCTTAGGACATGAGTTCCATCACGCCGCTTGCTGTGCAGCAAGCAAGCTGCGGGCGGGCTGGCTGCGAGCCTTGAAAAAAGTCGAATGCTCCACAGCATGAAGCACAATTGGATATTTGGATCTCCCACGGCCGCGCCCTGCAGGGTGAAGAACACCTTTGTGGAGATTGGGCCCATGCCAAAGGACGAGGTCTGGCGTCTCCGACCCCGTAGTCGTTGCAATTTCTGGTCTCAGCTCTTCATTGTTAACTGGGGCACCCATAGAATGGGCCTGCCGATTCGAAACTGCACTGTGGGCATCCTTGCTACTGGGTTCCTGAACGCGTTGCATGCCAGGGCTGCAGAGCTGCATCACCGGTGAATGTGCATGTATGTATGCCCGTAACGTTGCTGCATCAGGCTTTGCAAGTGAGGGTGCTCGGACGACCTTACGATTTTTTGACCCAGCCAGACCGCAACGCTCCGACAAAGCATATAGTCTGCGGATATATGCGCTTTTTGACTCGCGCATCCGTCTAGACACGTTTAGCTCAGCTCAAGATTGTCGCTTCCGGCCCCCAAGAACATACACGCACTTGTGCAAGCCGCTTTGGTCGCGCGACCATCTATTCAGCATGGCTTTGGCGGCGTTGCAGGCCAGCCTGCTATTGTCGTTACGGATGGATGTCAGTGTCACGTATAGGGTCAGTTTAATATTCTACGTCTGATCAAAGCGCACAAGGTTTTGATGCAATCGTGCCGCAGGTTTCCGTGACAGTGATCGTGCTCACCGCGCTGACTTTCAATATGTTCAGAGGAGACTTGCTTTCTTTGGGTTGGCTTTTTGTCTGACTGCGCGAGTTATAGGTGCGGGTTATCAGAGTTTCTCTGCAGAAAGCTCTAGTGTAGGGAGATTTTACGTGAATTCTTTGAGAGGGTGACGCTGTGCTTGGTCTGTGCTGCCCGCATGTTGACATGCACATGCAATTGGCTTGGGAAACTTGCAGTACTCCCAAAAGAGGCTTCTAATTTTTGCAAACCCCATAAGCTGTCCTAGGTTATCATAAGTCAAGCAGAAATTGAACAAACAGTAGCGAGCTACCCTCTGCAGAAGGTTAAAAAGGCTATATAATGCAATGCATTATGGAAGTAAGCCCAATAGGTGCCTGCCCTTCATTCCGGCATCACGCACCGTCCCAATTTTGCCTGCCTTGCGACACGTGATCCAGGATCGCAATCCTCTACTTGGTGGGGGCGTCGCCGGGCTTCCATACGGGGTACTGGATAACATGGATGGACTTTTGGAGTTCTTTGCCCTGCGATTGCAGATTTCGCCCCCACCTGAGGATACCTGGTCTATCCGGCCACCTATGTGTGGACCTTGGGTTCCGTTCAGTATTGCTGTATGAATAAAGTAGCGTGGCCTACACGCAAGTCATACTGCTCCATTCATTTTGTTTGAACAGGTAACTGCAAACTGATTGAAAGTGAGGTGCTGGCAGTCCAGGCGGGTTCTACTCACATGCTGCGCGGGCCACAAAATCTTCCAGTGCTGCAGGGCTTCAGGCGAATGTGCAAGACTCCAAATGAAATTCTGTCCAAGGCCAATGCTCATCATTGGCACCCTGCTGCGCTATGCGGTGGGACGCTGAATGATTGCAGCCTCCCACTTCGAGTAGCACTACTGTCTGACACAGCTCCTTCCAACTACTAAGGCACTTAGGGTGTCTTGCAATGGAGGGGGCCATGGTTTTTTTTTATTCAAAGGGTTGGCTCTACCCTGGTTTGGCTCGCCCCTTACGGATTTCCTACAAGTTCTTGCTTTCACTGGCTCTTGGTTCTTTGCCCCTCGAACGAAAGAAAGAACGAAAGAAAGAAAGAAAGAAAGAAACAAACAAAGAACAAAAGAAAG